TCGTCTTGCACAGATTCAGCGGCGCAAAAATCCAGGGCGGCTTTTTCAGGATGCGAATCCTATCTTGCCACACCTTCAGCTGCTCTGACACCTTGAGCCCGCCTAGAACAGCCTTCTCGTTGATAACCAGGATTGTAGCTAAGGCGTGCATCCAGGTGAACATCTCATCGGACTGACAGATCTGGATGATCTTGTCCCTCTTCGGCATGGCATTGGCCTGGTCTTCGAAGGATGGCCCAGGGACTGGGTCCACCATCGTATGAATGGTAACAGGACCCTGGTACTTGACAACAACAACAACAACAGCAACACCAGCAACACCAGCAACACCAGCAACACCAGCAACAACAACAACAAGGGCAGACGCACGTGCTGCCAACAACAACAACAACACCAACAACAGCAACAACTACGACAACAACAACAGTTTCAAGAAGCACAAGAAGAATAATAAGAAGAATACGAATAATAGAAAGAATAATAAGAAAAAGAAGAATAAGAAGAAGAAGAATAAGAAGAAGAAGAATAAGAAGAAGAAGAAGAACAACAAGAACAACAACAACAGCAACAACAGCAACAACACCACAACCACTCAGAACCACCATTGCTACTACTGCTACTACTAGTACTACTAGTTACTAGTACTACTACTACTACTACTACTACTGCTACTGCTACTACTACTACTACTACTACTACTACGGCTGCTGCCACTACTACTACTACTACTACTACTTCTTCTACTACTCCTACTACTACTACTACTACACTACCACCACTACTGCTGCTGCTACTGCTGCTACTGCTACTACTTCCACTACAACTACCTCTGCGACGACCACGACCACTACCACTACCAACGACGACGACTACTACTGCTCCTGCTGCTGCTGCTGCTGCTGCTGCTGCTGCTGCTGATGCTACTTATTCCCACTCCCACTCCTACTCCCATTCCTCTTCCTCCTCCTCCTGCTCCTACTCATTGTAGTCCTGCTGTTATGTTGCCTCTTCGTTGGTGAAAGAGGATGACGCACCTGACGATACAGGTTTGTATAGTGGTATCAACAAGAAGTTGGAGAATGGAAAGGTTCAGCATCAAAGAATAACTTCATGAGGTCCGCGGTTCTCGATCCGATGCCGGAATGAGCTATCATCTTCGGTGATCTGTCCGACGTGGCTGCTGGCTGGTTATTGTCAGGGTTGTTGAACAGACTTTGGCATCCGAGGGTTCAAAGTTTGTTTTGGTGGAATTGAGAATGGTTGGCAGCATAGCCGTGATGATTGAGAAATCCCGAGTCCCGAACGCCAGCACATCTCGAGTGCCGAGAAGCTATAGCGCTGTAGCGGTAGCTGTAGGCCAAGCGTTGGTGACAACCAAGACTAGATCCAGCTTCCATGATTTTGTGCTGATAAACACGATGCGATCTATGGTGCCGAGTCCAGGACCTCGGAAAGGTCAGACAAAGCAGTTGGTGCCACCAAGACTGCTGCTTTCCCGTGCTTTTCGTGTTAGGTTTCTGTCCTTATGACCTCTGTGCTTCTGCTCTTGCCTAACTGGCTGTGTTTTGTCGTCTCCTCCCGCAGCTGACAATCACGGCGATATTTGCCGCAATTACCGCTCATTATCAAGGGCAGCCGGGCCAGCAATCATCCACGCAATTTTAGTGCCTCGCCAGCATGATCAGTGCAACCATCCTCATCCACATTTCGTCCACATGCTCGCATGCCCCTCGACGCGTCATCCTCCAAGTGGGAAGCCAGGCCTGGCCCTGGGGCCTTCGGTGGGTTGTACACGCAGTTCGGCTACTGAGGCCAGGCGGGGTCGATCTTCTGCTTGCACTTGCAGCGCCACAATCACTTCTACCAATGATGCCCGATCATGCCGCTACCAGCCGATGTCGTCCTCAACAACGAGGACGACTACTGCCACTACTGCTCACTACCACTAGCACTATCGGTACCATCACCGCCGTCACCATGGGCGCCACGAGGACCCAGGCACCATGTCCACGGCCAGCACCACGAGCTCCACAACCCACTTGATCACAGCACCAACTGTTGCCATCCATGGGCTATGTGGTTCAAGGTTGCCGCTCTAGGATTCAGATGTGATGAGCTAAGCTGCAGGGTGCATGTGCGGTTCATGTCTTCACGCAGCCTGCTGTAGCCCGCTTGCCCGAAGCATGAAGCAGACTAGAAGGTGAGATTGAAGCCTGTGCAGAGTCTGCACGAGACATGCGGGGCTGGCGGGCGGCAGCCAAAGAGATGGCTGCGGCAGAGGTCAAGACTGTGTAGGACGCTAATTCGTCTTCTTGTGGACCCATTCTCGATCAGGTGAGCAATGGGATGCACAAGTGGACTGTGCATATACCGGTGCGCACTAGCGGTCTTAGCCATGAGTTTGGAATTATGATCGTGGCATCCGTTCGTTTGTGCCCGTGCCTCTGGACTGCTTCCGCACCGGTACATCCAGATGCAGGGTGGCTCAAGGCCATGTTGTATTTGGATTTTCCAGGAGCACGCCTCCCTGAAACTGAGATCCTCTCCACCAGGAGGTATCAGCCGTGCCTAAAGTCACAACAGCTCTCGCACCAATCGGCGTGCTTCTGCTGTGCTGCATCTTGCAGTATGTCAAATGTCCATTAACCAACAACTTACAGCCAGTATGTTCCTGCATCTGTGGGCCGTGCTCACATGCCGGAACAGAAACTTATCTGGAAAAGGCTATCATGCGCTGAAAGCACAGTGCGTGGCCTGGGCATCCAGGCGCGAGAAAATGAAAGGATGCACCTCGCAGAAGATTCTAGGAGCCTTGCCTTTCTTCTCTGTGAAAGTATCGCTGCGTAGCTCGCCTTTCGTTTGCAGCTGTTTTGGCTTGCAGTTCGATTTTCACTGCCGCAGGCCGATCTGGCCTGCCGTAAGCCTCTCCCCCTCCTCTCCCCCTGCCCAGGCCGTGGCAAGCGCAGGATGGAGCCTGCCCAGGCGCATCCCGAGGAGGCTGGGGCTGGGGCCCGGCGCAATTGTTGCAGATGACAAGCGGAGAGCTCCACCTTGCAAACCTTTTTTGTGGTAAGACTGTAGACTGCAGTCTCCATGGCTGCGGCAGGATGACTTCTCTCAGTTCCTGTCGCAGGCCTGCAGGGGAGCAGAGCTTCAGGGTGCACTACATGCTTCAACAGGGCGGATCATGGCTGGTTATGGAGTCGGACTGCCCTTTGACCGAGTTGGAAGGCTAAGTTGGAAGGCTTCTTTGGGGATGTCGTTGTAGCAGCACGCTCGCAGCAGACGAAAACTAGTCGGAGCAACAGCACAGCAATTGGATGACACCAGCGAGCTTCGAAGGAGAACGCCGCACCTGCTGCGCAGCCGGAGGCATCGAGAGAGTCCCAAACGAAAAACGCTGACAGTCTGCGGGCTCCTCTTCTTGAGTTTCATGAGCGTAGAGTAATGGGCGGTATTGTGCGATGTTCTTCCTGTTTTTCGAAGAGCTGCTCTCGTTATCAGGCTTAGTCTTTCACTTGAGATTGATCTCCGTATCTCGATTGATAGCCGTTGGCAGTGTTTCACAGTGAGTAGGCCCAGGCTGCTGGTGATGACGATGATCCTTCTTCTCGTAGCCAGTGTGGTGGATGAGCATTGGGTACTTGTCTCCAGAAGTCCCTGCTCGCCTTACACCCAAAATCGACAAAGAAAAATCTTGCGTGGTAGCGGAGTCTGTTAGGGCGCTATACATAGGTATCACACGCTTGAAAGATTCTGGGCTTAAAGGTTCCGGCAACCCCCATGTGGCTGCATGTCACTGTACCCAGAAGTTGCCTACAGCACCTCGGGCCCATCAGCAATCCTTTTACTTGTTGCTGCAAAACTTCGTAGTTGTGCAGTCATCCTCTGAGCGGATGATAACGGTGGCACTTATCTTCAATCCCGACACTCCGAAACCTGAAGTTTCGAGCTTGCAGGTCACTGCCGAGGCTCTCCTTCGAGTCGTGGCCGAGTCCTCCCAACGCCACATCCTCGTAGAGCAGCAAAGCTCTGAAGTTGTGAGTATCTGCGAGGGGTTTACCGACTCTGATGCTTTCCCTGTTGTCAGATACATCGCGTAGTGGTAGGCTTCTTCTCGCATGTTTCCGATGTCTGCTGTGTCTTGCCAAGGAGCTTAGAGCAGCACGTGCTTACACTTACGATGGCCTCTCGAAGGTGTGGGGTGGTAGTAGCAGTAGCAGTAGCGGCGGATAGTGGACAGTGGACTGTGGACGGTGGACAGGGGCCCGTGGGTGCAGCAACAGAACAATATTTTCCAATAGCAAGAGTGCGAGTTACGGTCGGCATACCTATGCCACCTATGCTGGCAGTTAACATTCCATGCCGGACTGGCAGCGGCAGGCACAAGCTCATCTGAGTCTGTAGTTCCCTTACGGCCAGCAACATCCTCGGTCTGTTGCCATCACAAGCCTTCTTCTGTTTCCTCCGCCTGATTCTTCTATGTCAAGCATTTGCACACGTGCATTCTACTTGTTCGGCAATGTAGTCATTGTGGAATTATGAGTTCGTACCGTCATGTTCGCTTCGGAAGGTATTGTTGGTGTGGGGGTTCTATCATGGTAGCTGTTGTAGCCAGAAGCCGGAAGCAATACATCATCTTTCACAACAAGATTGACAGCGCTAAAGACAAGAATGACATGGAGAAGCCGCGCTGTTGTGCGCGTGTGATGCGTACATCCAAGGCCAGGAGCAACTCCTGGGAAAGGTTTGCAGTTTGCTCGTGAGCCTGGATGAGAAGCTCGGGCGGATCGCCTCTGCCCAGGAGCAGCATGTGACACACCGCTTATGCCTCACTCAGGAGGGCATTTCGGTTGTACAACTTCCAAAACACCATAGCTTCAGGTGTCTAACATCACCACATTCAGCATCAATCTGCAGAGTCTTGCCCAGTACGATCAGCATGAGGTTGGTTAACCCGATCTGCCAGGGGTGCTCCTTGATGATCTGTCGAGATACAGCTGGGTCGATGCAACCGCTGTGCAACCACTTCTTGACTTCCAGGTCGAGGACAATTTCGGGCCAGGAGTTTCTATCAGAAGGGCAGGCTTCTCGGTTTTTGAGGCAACTCTGCGCCCAAAACGTTCTCATGCAGGAGAGGCTGGAAGACAGCTTGCACCGCGCTGCGGATGCACCTGCAGGGGCAGCATGGCTCCACTTACATCACTGAGCGCTCAGTGCGTCACTCATGCAGACATTTATCTTGCGAAGCCGACGAGATTCGATTGCATTGTCGTTGATGATGGTTATGACTAGCGACCAGATTCTGCGCAATTTAGTTTGTTAGTGTACCCACGCATGGACTAGGCAATGCTTCGGGCGGCAAACGGGTTCAGCGACGGCAAATGGTTAAGTGCAAAACCACTTCACTGCTATGGATTATGCAGCTGCGCTTGCTACGAGTCCTTCTGCGGCTGCTGCTGCTGCTACTGGCACTATCACCACTAGCATTATATACCATACTTGTGGCTCTTGTTTGGACGCTTCTCGTTGATTTTGCGTTGATTGGGGATGGTTTTGGCAACTGCATGCACGCTTGAAAAGTGCCTGGTCATCAGAATTGCTTGCTTGTTTTGCTTATGTGCAGTCCAGTACTGAAGGCCTGAAGGTTGGTGCACCGACACATCCACACGATCGGGTCTATTGTGGACCTCGTTTGGTCGATCTTTGCTCGTCCTCCTGAGGCGGCGCGTGCTCCTGTGTCCGGGCAAGTGCAGCAGCGTGCCAGCCTCAGCTCTGAAGCTGTCAAAAGGTCCCCAAAAAATGCCGTGAGCCCCTCTGACGGTCGACCGCGAGGTGGAGCCTTGGTGGCGCCTCCAGGCAAGCCGGGCTACTCTGCCGCAGGCTCCGTATGTGGACTCTTTCGGGGGGACTTTTTGGAGATCCTGTCAGTACTGGATTGCTCAAACGGTTCATTCAAGCTCATTCACCAGACTCGTGCCTACAGACAGCAGATTCGATGTTTTTGTGTCAGGTGCCCAGCAAGGTCCTTCACCGGAGGACCTGCGGATGCAGCCTCAAATTGTGCAGCGTTTTAGCGACCCCCCCAAAAAAGTGCTTTTCCCCGTGTCTTCAAGCGAGGAGCAGCGTCTGCAGCAAGAGCGCCTCGCAGCTGCCGGGGTCCCGTGAGATGTGTACTTCAGCGAAAGCGACGTCTCTCATTTTGGTCCCAAACCGCTTCATGAAAAGGAGCGCTTGAGGATGGAGGAGGAGAATCGCCGGCGTGCAGAGGCGTCTCGGTGACAGGAGGCCTTGAGAACCCCCTGGTCTCCTCCCTGGAAGCCGAGGAGATGAACCGGCGAAGGGAGGAAGAAGAGCGCCGTAAGCGTGAGGCTTGGGACAGCTTGGGACCCATGGGGTATGTTGCCTAGGTAAGGGGCTTTGCATGACCACTGCACAAAATCCGAAGAGGAGGAGTAGTCGTCTCATGTCGTTTCCTTGTGCGTCTGCAGGAGGAGGAGCGGCGCAGGCAGGAGGAGGAACGTCGTCGCGAGGAGGACTCCTAAGAGCTGTGCTTTGCCAAAACTCTCCCAGCTTTGAAGTCTCCGAGCTCCGCTTGAGACTTCTTTTGATGAGGAGCGGCTACGGAAGGAGGAGCTCGGCAAGAAGACCAGTGGGCTCATGTCGCTGTGCTCAGAGCCCCATCGGGGATTACGGTTTGCTCAGACCCTGGCGAAAGCCAGATGTTTGTGGGTCCCGGGCTGTGGAAGCGCACTCGGATATTCTTTGAAGTGGTTTTTTTCACAGATGCTTGAAGGTTTAGTTTCTAGACTGCTGAGGTCGGGGCTCCTCTCCAGCGACTCCGGCGGGAGTGGTGGGGGCTTGCCCGGAGCCCAAGCAGACTCGGAGGGTTCTTGTGCCTCTTTGGGGTTTGAAGATTTTGAAGCGGAGAAGCCCCGCAAAAACTCTGTAAGACATTTTAGCAGAGAGCGGCTTGAGGATCGGAGTCCAGGTCTCGCCTCGAGGCTCCGTCTCACGAGACCTCCGGTTCTTAGTCCATGATGCAGGTTTGGCGACGACGCGCCCAAGAGAAGCAGCAAAGGTGGCTTGGCTGAAGGAAGGAAACCCAATCCGCTTGACAGGGGACAGCTCGCCCTCACAAAAGCAAACCAACCGAGGTGGACTCTTCGACGACTAAGCATGCTGCCGCTGCCTGTCAGCATATACTTTGCTTCAGGCACCATCCCGAGCTCCAAAGATTCGTCACCGCTTGTCATACCCTGTTTGGTGTTTTGCTGATGTCTGTTGATCAGAAGATGAGGGCCCACCGCATGTTGCAGACTTGATGAGAATGAAGTCTGGAATGTCATCTTGGCAGCGCTTCTGTCATGCTAAACTCACTCTAGGCCCTGCTCTAGGCATGCCGACGTGAATTAGCTTGTTTTCGGAAAGTTGGAGGGCTGGAGTGGTGGGGCGTCGCCAGGTGCCCGCAGCTTGCAAGCTTCGCTTCTTGAGAAGCCTTGCTGATGCCAACTACCCCTCGAGCCTGAGGGCCCAAATCCGACTTTCAGTTTTCAGTAAGCTGAAAGCCTTGAGGCAGTGTTTTCGGGGTGGTGGAGGGTTTGGGTCTTCACGTCCCGGTGCCTGGTCGGCACTAGGCTGCCAGCACTCATTGCTTTGTTTGTCGTGGCCAGACCAGTTCAGCACGCCTCCTTAGCTTCATGGCAGCTTTGATCGTGAGGGTTTCGGCTGCAGGGCCTCTCCTCAGGACCGGATGTCAGAAACGCACTGCGAAAAGACAGGGCACCGTCGTTTCGAGGCCAAGTAGGACGCAACTCGCATCTCAACTCAGCAAGAAGCGCGCTCGCTCTCTCTCCTTTTGCTCAAGCACTGGGAAGTGATCATGGTCAAGCACCCCCAACCCTCCCCTCCACCGAACAGAACGCCTTAACCCCTCCCTTCTCGCTGGCCGTTCTTCCGCACCATGGCGCGGCCCAAGAAGCGCAAGGTCTCGCACCGGGACAGCAGAGTTCTCTGGGGAAGGGGAACTTAGGGGGAGTCATGGAAGTAGCCGGCACTTTGCATTTTTGCACCCGTTGACTCCAGCCGCACCCCGCTGCACTTCTGCTCAGAGCGTCCTGTGATAAGTGCAGGCCGCAGACCTTCTGAAGAGGTGAGGGAAGGGCCCAGCAACAGAAGCTAAGTAGAAGCTTTTTTCGACTGGGAGCCCTTCCAGAATACCGCAAGAAAGCGAGAGATCCAGCTTGAAGTCCGGCACACGGTCCGGTCGCAATCTGACCTGAAGGGCGTCGAGCCCCACCGAACCCCAAGCAGCAACAGCCCTGCTGTCCGCAGTTGTGAGCAGTTCCAGAGAGTGCTGTGCTCCTGTGTGAAATGGCTGGCTCCTCCGAAAGGCACCGAAGGACTGCCGACGCTTCTGTATACGGGCCCATCCGAGAGCAGTTGCTCACCTCGGACCTCGCCCATGCCCCAAAAACAGAGACACCTCCCAAACATCATGAGTGCAACCCCAACATCCGTGCCAGGATCTGACATACGGTGCAACACCTACGACCTTCTAAATACTGTTTGCCAATGATTGCCCTCAAGCGTTCCCCAATGGGGTCTTGGGGTCCTCGCCGTCCTGCTTCGCTGCAAACCAAACCTGAGTTTTCTTCGTACAAATACGTAGCTTGGCAGCGTGCAGCATTCAATAATGTAGCCTTTTTTCGCCATCGTCTTAGCTCTGCTGTCGCAACTGTGCAATCTCGCCCCGCCCTGCAACAGGAGCCATCCAGGACGAGACAGATGTCGGCAGGCGGGCATACGGGCTTCTTCAACGATTTTGGAGTGAGGATTTAGGGATTAGCGGCTTTGAATTTGCAGGTCCGGGTGAGTTTCTGTGCGTGCGATCTTAACGGAACGCAAGCTGGTACAGGTACAACAAAGCCAGTAACCACTACCCCACCACAACTACCACTACTACAAACATAACCACTACCACTGCCACTACCACTACCGCTGCCACTGCCACTGCCACTACGACAACAACGACGACGACGACTACGACGACGACGACGACGCCGACTACTACTACTACTACTACTACTACTTCCGCTGCTACTGCTACTACTACTACCACCACGGCGACGACGACGACTACTACTCCTGCTGCTGCTACTGCTGCTACTGATGCTGCTGCTACTGCTACTACTACTACTACTACTGCCACTAGTACTGGTACTAGTGCTTGTGCTAGTACTTGTCGTTGCTGGTGTGGCTATTGCTGCTGCTACGACTTCTACTGTAACTGCTTCTGCTACTACTGCTGATTCTTCCGCATGCCAGGTGGGTTCGAAAATATCGATCAGCTGTTTGTTTTTGTCTTGTTGTTGAGGTTGTGACTGTGGCCAATGTTGATGTTGGTGTTGATACTGGTATTAGTAGAATCAGCAGAAGTAGCAGTAGTACTGGAATGGTGGTAGTAGTAGCAGTAGTAGTAGTAGTAGTAGTAGTAGTCGTAGTAGTAGTAGTAGTAGTAGCAGTAGCAGTAGTAGTAGTAGTAGTAGTAGTAGCTGCAGCAGCAGCAGCAGCAGGAGTAGTAGTAGTAGTAGTAGCAGAAGAAGTAGCTGTAGAGGGTAGCAGCAGGAGCAAGAGCAGGAGCAGGAGCAGGAACAGCGACAGCCTTTGGTGATGCTGCTGATGTTGAGACTATGTTCGTGGGTAGTAGTAGTGCCAGCACTAGCCGATTCGCTGTTCACGATGAATCTTGGCACAGCTGGCTGTCGCCAGAAACTTTTTGTCACCATCAGTATTGTGCATCATGCTTCCTAGTAAAGTAGTAGTTGTAGCTGTCGTGGCTATCGCCTCTGGAACGATCCGGGGTTGTTGCAGAGACCACCTCTGCCAGGAGGATAGTTGTGATTGCTTGTATCCCTACCGCTTCTCCTACTAGGGTTCATCTCTCTTTACCGTGCTCTTTGTCCGAAGCAGCAAAAACCCCGAACCCAAACAAGCAATCCTAAACTGCAAACCCTAAACCCTAAACCCTAAACCACACAACTCTAAAACCTAAACCCTAAACCCCTAGACCCTAAACCTTAAAACTCTATTCCTTAAACCCTGAAGGCTGACCTCCCATTCGGCCTAACGGGCTAAGCCATAAACTGAGAAGGCCCTTCTTTCCTTGCAAAACCAACTTTCAGCCGCCTCTACATTAAATACGGGCCTCTGGGGGTGCAGAACTCGCCGATTTTACGGCTGAGGGGTCGTGTCTTTAGGGCTCTAGGTGTGTGCCGCTTCCTGAGTAGATTGGACTGAGGGTTTGCAGCCGTTGAGTGGATATTGCTCGAAACGGCCCCCGAAACGCGCGTGAGACTGGAATGTCCAAATCTTCCGAAGTATCTTCGGTAGGAATCTACGACTCATGTTCAGGCTTGTATTCTGTTGATGGTGTTTCGAAGCTGCTCGACAACTTCAGGTGTACTCTTTTGTTGGTAAGCGATGAAAGAACGTTCGCTCTTCAAGCTCTAGTGGAAGTTTTGGTTGGGCTGCTTTGCAGGCCCAACTTCGGCAAAATCACCTGCTCGAATCTTCGAGTGATGGCTGCTTTGCAGCCGTGCTTGAAGACCCCGACACCAAAAAGTTGGTTCTCTCTGCACGGCTCGACCCACAGGCGCGAAACTCCAATGGCCTCCTGAAATTCACCTTCAAATCCACGAGCATACTCTCTTGAAAAACATTGAGGGTTTGCACGTTGGAGCCCCCGGAATATTCCACAAAACTCAAGCTTAAAATGCAACCGAGGACGTACACGCGCAGGTGGAGAAGGCACTAACGTTCATTCAACATGCAAGCTTTGGCCGCCGAAGCGGACCTTTTCCATGTCCTTGGCAAGGGTTTAGGGTTTAGATTTTGTATAATGCAGGAACCTGATTAAGAAACTCTGGCCCTATAACCCCAAAACCGTACGATTCATGAAGAACCCTCATAAAGGCCCAGGGTTTCTTAATCGGGCTCCTACATTATTCGGTTTGCTTTAGGACTTTAGGATTCACACTTCGGGATTCGCATTTTGGGATACAAGTGCTGCAGTTCCTTCCTTCCGAAGCGGTTCTTAAAGGTCTCGGGGCAGTCGTTGCTTTATTTCTGGGCGGACCCGCTTCTATGACACAGCCGCTCTTCAAATCCAAGAGAGGAAAAGCAAACGAAAATAAACACACACACACACACACGCGCACTGATGTAGTGTTGTCTGCACTCCTGGATGGATTTACATGAAACAAAATGATGTTGATGATGATGATGATGCTAACGAAGATGGGATGAATACACACACAGACACACGCAGCTCCGTGTAGATACTTCCACATGTGTGGCGTGTACGTATACGCAATTGAACATGGACAGTGATGCATGTGTGTACACACAGACATAGACCTTTGCTTACGAGCACAGCACGAAGGTAAGGCAGCAATGACGAACCTCCTAGATCCATCCCCTTTACCCGAACAAGGAAGCCCCAAACCCTAACCTAAATGGGCAGTTCTCCAAACTAAGGACCGCTTCTTTAAGGCCCCAGACCCAGAACGGCAATCTTATACAAAAGGAGCCTAGAGGGGGCCCCAAGTTGGAGAACTACCCTTAGATAACCCTTATAGAAACCCTCTTGAAGCCCTTATAGATCCCTTTGGGGAAGCTCCTAACTTCGAGAGCTACCCAAATCCAAACCCCCCCCCCACGAGACGCAATCTCTGCGACCTACAATCTCTTCGACCTATTGAGCTCTGAACCTAAACCCTGAAGAAACATATAAACCTTAGAGCCACGGTTTAGGGTTAGGGTTTACGGTTTAAGGTCTAGGGAGCTGGAAAACCCAGGAACCCTAAAAACCCTAAACACTAAACCTACAAATCCCAGACAGCTACGCAGCTAAGCCCATGCACCCTCAATTCCAAACCCTAAAATGTTAGTCCTAAAGCCTTGAGCCCATGAACCCTCAACTAAACAGCAAAACACCATAAACCCTCCCTCAACCCTCAAACCTAACCATGAAGCCAAACTCTTAAAGCCAAGCCCTAAAACCCTAAACCCATGAACCCTCAACCCTAATCAAACACGAAAAATCCTAGTAGCCTTGTAGAGCCGTCAAAGGAACCCTATAAAGCCTGTGCTGAATTTTCTAACTGCCGTGTGACT